CACTGGAAATTCTGGCTGAAGGGCTCAGCTTTGGAGACATTCCAGGTGCACCCTCCAAGGAGCTTTTCCTCAAGTCACCTTGGGGAAGCCACCTGCTGGGGGAGAGGGCTTTGAGGGTTGGGAGCTGCGTGGAGCCAGCGGAGTGGTTTAGATTCGTGAACTGCAGGCAGGCCCTGCCCCATCTGAAGCTCACATCCCACATGACCCTGGTCCTGAGGAAGCTCAAGTGGACTAATCCCCCCTTATTTCTTTATTATTATTTTATTGTGGTAAATAATGCTGAAGTTAGAACCAGTGCCTTGATTGTTGCTCTGAGGGTGACTCCTTTCAAGTCCTCACAGAAGGACGTTTTCAGGCAGCTCCTTGGTTTTGTGCTGCCCTTCTTCCAGAACTCTGCGGAAGGAGGAGAGCTGGTTCTCCAGGCTGGGTCCCCTGGAGTGAGCACGCAGACCACAGGGCCCCCCCAGAGGAGCTTCTGAGGCAGCAGTTCTGGGCCCGGGCCAGAGAAGCTGCATTTTCAGCAGTGTAAGTTTAAGGTGTACCACATAGTGACCTCCATGTATTGAGAAGGCGTTTCTGACAGAGGTCTGCGACTGCTGGACAGGAGCTACTCTTTGGGATGGCTCTGCTGGAGGGTCAGTAACAGGAAACTTCTCACTGACTCCTTAGGACTGTAAGAATTCCTTCACGAAGTGTTTGCTTAATTTTTGTTCTGTGCACTCTTGGCTACTCCCTCCCTGCCATCAGTGCTCCCCATCTACTGGCCCCCACTGCTTCCTGCACACACATATTATTGGAATCCCACCCAGCACCTGAAAGTGTGGGCACCCCCATCAGAGCTTCCTCTTGCTCCACGTGTGCGTTCCGTTTTCAAGGAAGCAGAGGTGACCTGGAGCATACAGGTCGCTTCTGAGCTCCAGCTTGCACTGGTGGATCAGCTGGATTCAGCCACTTGGGCAGGACTGGGCTGTGCGGGAGTTCAGGCAGAGCCTGGTGGCCTCCTTCCGGGCTCCCTGCCTGGGTGCTTCCAGAACACAACGGTGCTGGATGTGGAGTTCCCCCTCCCTCTGTGCAGAGAGGGCAGTGAGTGCTTGCAGACTCTTGCCCAGTGCCGTGATGGAAGTTCAGCCCTGCCTCTGGCACACAGAGGAAGGCAGAAGTGAAGGTGGGAGGAGAGAGCTCCTTTTTCCTGCTTGGAATCAGGAGGAAATGGGAGGCCAGGCACTGAGCAGTCTGGAACGGCAGAAATGACTCAATATGATTGTGAGAAGTCAGAGAATGTGACTGAGAGAAGCACATCTGTTCTCTCAAACCCTGTGCTAGGAGTTGCAAATTTTGTCCAAAGAAACAACAGATTAGAAACTGGATTCACGTTGCTCTCCTACCGTGATGTTGGGGGCAAGGTACTTAACCCTCACACCTTAGTTTTCTCATCTATACACCTCTAAGGGTCTTTATAATGAAGGTCAAAGCAGGCAACACAGTATTCAAAAAGTATTAGCTGCTGCTGCTACTACAGAGTTCAAGTTTGGAACTAAGAGCCTGGGATTAGTGGGAATCGGGGAGGCTGCATGTGGAAAGTGGCCCCTGAGGGATGGGGTGGAGAAAGGAATGTTCTGGGGGAAGAAACTGAACAGAGGGGATAACCATGGGAACTGGTAGGCAAGAAGGCCAGAAAGTAAACTGAGGCCATAGCATGTAGGGCTTTCAATGGCAGACTAAAAAGTATTTTCTGCCGTCTTGAGGCAAAGATCAGGAGACAACCCAAGGGGAGGCCCACATACCTGGGCTTACGTCCCAGGGTTGCAGTCCCCCACCCCTTCGCACTTTGCTCTCTTAAACGTGGGCCAAGAGATGCATCCCCCTCTTCTTAGCAGCCCCCTTGAGCAGCTCACAGTATCTGACTGTGCAGGGCCTGCTCAGTGTGACACTCTAAGGCCCCGTTGGACCAAAGCTCATGTCAGCAAGGGGGGAGGGTGACTTGCATGGGTGCCGCCCTATCCAAGGCATAGACTGCACCCTAAGCCAAGAAACACATCAACTTCCTGGAACTCAGAGCCGTCATTGCAGCTGTCTTGGGCCTCAGAGCACACGCGAGGCTGTCCTGGTTGGAGGAGACTGTTTTGCCCTGAGCTTGGCAGGCAGGGGAGGACAGCCAGTGCCATGCTGCGACATCTAGTCTGGTTTGGTTCTGTCCCCAGCTGGCCAAGACTGGGGAAGAATATTTCCTTTCTGCCTCAGCCCATCCTTCCAGAGCTGTCCTTGCTGCTTGTTAAGTCCCCTAGCAGCTCACGGCAGTTTAGTACCTGAGCTCCTTAAACTCTTCTAGCCTCTCCTGGGTTGGATGGAACGAGCCAGCTAGGCTGTTCACTAGGCTGTTCCAATCAGTGGATCAACCAAAACAAGCTCAGTGCAGCAGCTCTCCCAGTTTGGTGGTGGTGTAAAGCTCGCTGTTACGAATGGGGGGGAAGGAAGGGGGCAGACTCTCTGTCATCCCAGGCCTTACCCATCTTTCCTGGGGGCCTTAGGACAGATTTTAGATTTCACCTTAAGAGTCTGTAGGGTTTTCAGAAGCTGGATAGCTTTATTTCTAGAGCATCTCCCCTTTCATCTTTCATCTCTTCTTGACTATCTGGGACCTGGTTCTTTCTGGCTTTACACAGCATTGTTCCTTGTCTCCTCAGGTGGAGGAGGAGTTGGGGGGCTGGCCTTCCCCTCCCCCTCATCCTCACAGGTGGACCTCTGCCCTCTCCAAGTCACCCTGCTTCCACTGGGTGTGGGCAAGGCCTCTGTGGGCATGCAAAGCCAGAGACTTAGCATCCTCCCTCCAGAGCCAGCAGCCTCGCCCTCCCAGCCCTCCCCTGCCTGCATTGTCACATTTCCCCTACAGGCGTCATCTGTCATCTAGGACACAGCCTCCCTCACTGCTTTTTTTTTTTTTTCTTTCTCCCCCTGAGGCAGTGTTGATAGAGGTAAGGGGTATCTTGGGTTTTCTTCCAAGAACTGCCCTGTACTTTTCCACTCTTGAGTTCTGTGAATCCCTCTGGCCTGGTGGAACCCAGAATAAACAGGGTAGCCACTCTTGTTACTCAGCTTAATTGCAAGACATTCTCAATATTCAAACCGTTTACATCCAAGATCAGAGGACTGAAGTTTCAGGGCCAGGTCTGTCAGGTTGTCCTTTCTTCCCCTTGGTTCCCCTTGTGTGCTGAGAGGTTACTTGGACTTTTTAAAGTATCTTTTTAATTGAGGGGAGGGAGTATGCCCAAATTTTGAGATTCTTAGATATATTCTGAAAGTTTTTAATTCCAGAGACTTGTCTCTCTGATGTGTGTTTTTATTTATTATGTACAGAACTGTAGCTCACTTATTTGTAGATCTTGGCAGTTTCTAGAAAAAAGCATGGAGCTAGTTCTCTCTAGATTTTTCTCCTAATAAAATGTGCCATTAATGAAAAAGGAATAATAACCGGGAAACCTTGCTGGGTACCCCCCCCCCTTTTTTTTTTAACAGTGTTTAATTTCGCCATAGGCATCTTTAAGTTTAGATGAGTGGAGATGATCTGAAAGGATGTTTCGTTCCTGTATTTCTGAAACCTCATGGGGATTTTAATAAAATTGACTTGACTCATAGTTTAAAGGAAGATGGGTTCTGTATCTCAGGTAAAACCAGTATTCTCCTCCTTTTCCCAGATGGGTCTCTGGGGTTCCTGGCCCTCCTGATACTGAAAAAAAAAAATGTTGGGTGTAGAGAATGTGCTTGTTTCGGTGGGAGGGTCCATAATTTTCATCAGATGCTGAAGGAGGTCTTGTCTCCAAGAATCATTGAAAATTACTGGGGTTGCTCGTGCTTAAGGAGTCTCTGCCCCATTTAGGGGCTGTCCCTATGAGTCACTCTTTGTTTCTCAATACTTTGTTCAAAATCCAAAGAACTTTGCAAAAGAGAAAGGCCCGAGAAAAAAAAGATGAATTGAAGGAGTGAGGTGTAAAGAGAGAAACTGTTCCCCGAGTCAGAAGCCATGAGGCACTGCTTCTAACAGAAAGGGCCAGGGAGGCTTCCTCCCCCTCGGCCTGCGGGGCTGGCAGGGGTTTGCCACCTTGGGCTCAGTGACTCCACGCGGACAGAGAGAGGAGCCAGGATGATAACTGGGCATTCCCAGAACTGGGCAGCTTTTCTGACTCCGAAAGGGAATAAACACGAGAAAACACGCCGAGCAAGTATTTCTTTGTCTGTGTGGCAGTTTACTTTACTTTACCGCCCAGCTTTTCGCCCTTGAGTTCAGCTAGGGATGCTGCTTTCAGAGGCCCGTGGGGCCGAGCGCCAGGGCCCTGGGAAGTGCTGCGTTCCAGGTTCCTCGCGCTCCGTGGAGGGCCAGGCGCCGCTCTCTCCGCAGCCAGCCGGTTGAGGCCCTTGGCGCCCGGAACAGACGTTCCCAAGCTCTTGAAGGGCGCGTGTAATTTGAGTTCTCTGCAGAAGAAAATACGCATTCAGTCCTGTTTGAACTGTTACGGACACTTCTCCCGTCACTCAAGAAAAGATGTACCGACTCTTTTACATTGAGGAACTGTTCAGTTTCATTTTTCTTACTTTTTTCAGCTCTTCTTTTTTCCTCTCTGTTTCTGATAGCACTTAATGATGTCTTGCCCTTCTCTACCCTTTAAGCGGGCCATCCGTCAGCATTAACATGCCATTAAGATGCTCAAAGCTCTACCTGGAGCCAGTGGTCCAAGGCATTCTCAGGTGATGTTGCCCTTGGCATTGTTGGAGCATGCTTTTCAAGTTCCCATCTGCCCAAGGCACGCTTGACTCCAGTTGCTCTGGACGGGGTAGAATCCACCTGGGTGCTGGAAGCTTGCCTATGAGGTGCAGGCAGGGGGTGGGAAATGTTTTATTATCTTTAATTTGTGACTCCTGCTTGTATTGAGTGGAAGAATACAGAGATGGGACCGTTTTTGTTGTTGACTCCCCCATAATGTCGTCAACCTTTTCTCATTGTGTAGGTTGCTCCCACTCCGCTCCAGAGGCTTTGAGGTGTGACCCTGCCCACATTTGGGCCCAGCCAGCACCAGTTCCTCAGTAAGGAGGCCAGCTTGATAAGACAAAGAAAACAGGTCGGTTAAACTTTATTGACTTTCTTGAGTCACAGTAACTTTGAATGTTGAGTCTTCTTTAAAACTCTTCCTCTCTGTCTCCACGTCCCCTTGGGCTCCTTCCCTCTTCCCCAGGTCCCCCAGAGGCTTTTATGCAAAACTCCCGGTGTAACTGAATTGCTAGTTCTTGACCTGTTGGACCTGACATGTGGGATGAGAAATCGCAAAGGGTGCCTAGTGTTTGTCTCACAAAAAAGCAACACTTCATACACCCCGTTTCCTGCTTCTCCCTTCCCACCCCCAAATCCAGACTATGTTAAAAACTGGAACACCAGGCCAGTCCGTTTGGCCATGTCAATGAAGATGATGATTTCTTTTCATATCTGTGATTTGGGAATTTCATCTGAGTTCCCAATCCCCTCTGATTCCAGTTGGAGAAGATTATATTAGAATGGGACCAGTGATTTTTATTTTATTTATTATTATTATTATTTGCAGTGGTGGGGCTGATGTACAGAATGCTGTCAGGGAGTAGCAATAGGGCAAAGGAGACAATAAAAATATTAAGACTATAAATATCCATAAAGAAAAATGTGCTTTGTAAATGGACCTTAAACTGTTAAACTTATCTTTCATTCCCAGAGATGAAGTATCAGTAGGTTTAGGTTAATTAGTTTGGGTTATTACTCTAATGGAGTCTGGGGTTGGGCATGGGGTAGGTAGAATTGGCGAATGACTGGCCCACTGGCCTCTGGTTAAATTAGCGCAAAGATGAGCTCAATGTTTAAGTAGATTGTTTCCTCCTCATGGAAGAATGTGCTACACTGTGTTTCACACCAGGTTCTTTTCCTCCTTCCCCACACCATGGTCACAAAGGAGAATTCCGGGATAAGAGCAAACTGGAGTAAAAGCTTACAGTAGCTCCGAGGGGTGGGGTGGGTTGCTTCTCAAACAGCTCTTCAGGAATGAGTGCCCCGGCTCTTCAAACAGTGTAGCTGCGGCTTTCATTTTGTTCATTGCGCTTTCCGAACAGAGATAAGCAGTCTCTATGTTTCTTTTTTTAATTACTATTTACTTACCTTTAAACCAGGAAAAGGAAGTAAGTGTAAGTGGTCTTGGTGTCATCAGCTTATGTCACACTTTATCCCAAAAGAAGAAATCAGTTTAGCAAGTGTCTTTTTCGGGACAAAATGGGAATCAGCAAGTTTGAATGCCCTTTCTCCTTTCCAGTTGGGATGAGCCCTTGCAACTTTCAGTCCATATGCTGATTAGCTGTCTTGACTATTGCTAGATATTCTCTATTTAAGGCACTTAGGAGGTTTGCAAGATTGTGTCTTTGACGTTATAGTGACAGTGACAAAAATTCTTACCATCAATTTGGCTCTGCTTGGTGAATGTTTTTTTGTTAATCTCATATTGAATGTTTCCTTCCTCTCCAATTTCTTTCCCTGCACAATGATAGAATTAAATTTATTTTTCATTTTAACTTAAAATTTTATATTAAGGCCTAGAGGTGTTTATTCTAACCTACTTTCAGACTTGGTAAGCTCTGCCACGTTAGTATTTTTTAAGTAGAGTCATAGGACGAAAGCACAATCCTCTTCTAAACTCCTACTATAAATTGGTAGAAAGATTGATTTTCTCTTTACTGGCATAATTATAGTAAAGAAGATTTCTAGTCATTTATTTATAACTTGATGTACATTAAAACTAGGGAGGAAGTATCTTTAAAAGAATGAAGGTGATTTTGGTATTGAAGGTGTCCACTTATTTGAATCAAATAATTACATGGTGATTGATTACAATTCTAGGGGACCCATGATACTTTTGTTAGAAACCCATTACACCGGAATTGAGGTGTGTGTGCACTTACGTGTGTGCACTTGCATCACGTGGTCTTTCTTAAAGAGAAATCTTCCAAGCAAACTTTCAAAGACAGTTAAAAATGGGAAGTTTGAAGCACAATCTTTGATAAGTTTCAATGGTCTGCTAGCATGGGGAAACTCGTAGGAAGACAATGTTATCTCTCCTTTAGTTTTGATCACCACTTTCCTCTTTATGAGGAAATATGTGAGGGTGGGGTGAGGCTGAAGCAGTTTTCTTTTGGTGTTTCTGCATTTAGTCCTTTCATCTACCATTTGGAAAACCATTAGGTTCATATCCTCAAAATGTTTATTAACAAGAAGGCACATTTTGTCTCTTGACAAGAGAAGTACTGTTCCTGAGATCCTCTCTGACTTTTCTGGGAGGATTTTAGCTTGGGATTCTGAGCTGATGGCAATATCACTTAATGAAGTTATGTTCCCAGGCCTCTCCTGCTCTGGTGCTGGACACACTCGTAGCTGTTCGGGGTGTTGCCACTTGTCTTGTCCCCAGTCACACTGCCTGAAGCTGGAGGAGGAAACCACAGGAAATCATGTTCTTCCTGGTGTTCTCCCTAAGCATTCACTTTGCTGTTAGATAATGAGCTTGATCTTTCACGGAAGTTGTGGACTGGTCAGGTTTGCTCATGCACACTGTGGAGAGCAGGGTGCGTGGCCCACCGGCAGGCTTCAGCTACGAAATGCCTTCCCATTTAAAATGAGGGAAATCGTTTACCTGTAGACTCACATCTGGCCATACCTATAGCCCTCGACTTTTAGTTGCAAGGACTACAACTAGAAAAGGCCTGAAGGAGGTAGGTTTTTGATGTGGCCGTGGGCCAGTTTTCCCTTTGATCACTCTTTTCACATTATCTGGTTTCCTTTAGGTCTGACCTAATACCTTCTAAACTATGAGCCTTTAATGAGTTCCTCAGCTCCCTTGTCTTTGGTGAGTTTTAGGTAGAGGTGAGAAGTGGGTCAAGTAGGGGTCTGAGTGTCCTTATGGGGTATGGGGTAGAATGTGAAAGAAAATCTGGTGTGTGTATATATATATACACACACATATACATGTGCGTGCACATGTATACACACAAACAAATATAGGCTTCAGAAAGTAAAATACCACAGAATAGTTCTGGCTGTTGGGAATGAGGGTGACAGCACTGTAGGGAACATCAGTTAAGGTTGAAATGCAGCCACAAAATATGGTTTTGGAAGAAAAAGAAGACTTAGAAATCGCCTCTCACTTGTGCTCCCTGTGTTCTCCTGAATTTTGTGGTCTGAGATTACAGCAAATAAATGATTTCAATCTTTTTTTCACTAAGTGAAAATATATGCACTGAATCTTTTTGCCTTTGCTTCCCTTCCAGTGTCAACGAGTGATACCGAGAAGAAAAAAAAGAAGTGAAACGCAGACTCATTTCCTACTCCACGTGGATATAGCTATAGCAAGGGAAAATCTCATAGTGTATCAGTTGGGGCAGAAAATGGAGGTAATTGGCAGTGGGCTGGGCTTTCTTCCTTCCATTTTCTGGGGTATAGGTACATTACCTATTTGTATTTTTTAAGAAGCAGTCTTTTTTATGTTGATTTGAAATTTGGTTCTAATCTTTGATAGGGTTGGCACCTCAGTTGTCTTACAGTTTGGGCCCCATTGAAATCACTGGCTTGCGGCAGTGGAGTTCAGTAAAACCTGCTGATTTCTAAGTTGTCAGGTCTACATTCCTGTAGCAGTAAATGAGTTAGGTTATGAGGAGGGTGCTGGCCGGTGGCAGCTCCCTGGGCTTCCTAATTGTTGGCTCAGCCTTTGCCACTCTGCCTAATGAAAGATTAGGAAAGGCAAAGAGACCTGCCTCAGGTGGCCTTGGGAGTTGTATTGGTGGCATACACTTAGAAAGGAAGTAAGGTTTTTCTTTGATATGACAGCACTTCATTTAGATGAAAGCTTAAGTCATGGATGTGAGTGTCCTCTTGAACTGAAGACAGGGTTTTAGGTGTTTTAGCCTGACTCACAGTTATGGTAGCCATGGCCAGGGCCACCTGGCTCTGACAGATGCCTAAATTTCCCAATGATCACATCAGCAATTTCCAATTTTCAGTTCTATGGCAGAGGCTTCTTAGAAGCTTAAACCCTTGTCCCAATGATGTCAAGTTCGCCCATTGGCTTGGAAGGTTCAGACTTGTCTTCCATCAACACCATGATGTCAGCAGTAATGAGTGTAGGGAAGGTCGCCGAGAATGGCGGGAGCCCCCAGAGCATCAAGTCCCCCATGAAGCCTCCAGGACCAAATCGGATTGGCAGAAGGAACCAGGTAAGCTTCTGTGTACTAGGTGGTGACATCTGGTGGCTTCAGTCCCTGAGAACATTGGGAGAAGGATGTTACCTTGAGCCTCAGCTTGCTAAGACAAAATCTGGGATGTATTGAGATATAAACAGACATACCCAGAGGTTGTGATCATTTTTTGAATGCAAACTTTTCATAGTTTATTTCAGTTTTCTATGTTGTGGTGTCAGTATTGGTAAAGGCACCTGATTCTCTGCCCTGTGATTTGATTTGATTTGATTGCCAGCTTTCTTCATTTGATGGCCAAGGCAGAGAATTTAACTTAGTCCTGTACTGTGAGGTTCATTTCCTTACTCACCCGCTGGTTAAGTTGGTTTCCAAAGCCACCTCCTTGATTGTGTTTTTAAGTGTCTTCCGATTAGGGAGCAAATAAGTACTGGTTGTGCTAGGGCTGCTCTCCAGCTTCCCATCCTTGACAAAGCACAGAATTTGGCTCCAGAGAATTCCACTTAAGAGGCGATTTAGTCCTTTTGAACTTGTAGTGGGCATCAGATCAGGAGAAGAGGGAAAGAGCAACTGAGTGGGCAGGGACTGGGAGGATTAATGATGTAGTCAAAGTCCAGTCTCCTCCATCGGGAAATGAGATGAATCTTCTAATTGACATGCAAAGGGGCACTTGCAAAGTGGTTACTGTCCTGTTAGCAGCATGTTCAACGAAGCTCAAGGATGAGGTAGAGAGTAAATAGTTCTCGTTTCCCCTCTGAATCCATATGACATGAACCGCATTTAGCTTTGGGTTTAACTGATTTAATGGGGTTATATCAAATCCTTAGGGAGCAGGCAGTCGTAAGAGTTTGTCTAGATACCAGGGATAGAGACAAAAGTAACCTTGTTCGCTCTTGTGAATTAATTTGTTTTATTAACAACCCTACAGTGACTGTCCTTAAACAGAATTGTCTGAGCACATCTATGATGGTTTTCTATAAATTATTAGAAGTAAAACATTAATTAAAACTTTCGATGTAACTTGCTCTCCAGGAAAAGTTGCACCAGCCTAAAATCCCTTCAGCATGGGAGAGTGTCCATTTTCTCCACACCTTTCTCAAGGCTGAAGACTTGACAGAGTTAAACAGTGTTTTAGGGTTAGAACATTGACACCTTTTTCTCTCTCTTTTCCCTCGTCTCCACGTGCCTCTTCCTCTGGGTTCCTGAGAAAATACTCAGCCTGTATGACTGTGGCCTGAGTCGAGAAGGAGCGCTAGCTCTGGGAAGCAAAGGTTTATTTCCACTCTCACATGACTGTCTATCCATCCATCTGTTCTTTCATCTCTCCACCCATTCACTCATTTCACAGTATATACTGGCTCCTAATTCCAGCCAGGTACTGCACCCGGGTGTCAGGCATTTGGGGATGAATGACATAGACCAGGTCATTGTCTCCTATTTCTTCTCTGTTCTACCAGAAGAAAGGGGTAGGTAGGGATCACCTCCCCTTTAAATAGCCTGACGTTGCCCAGCTCAGGCAGAGTTGGCACCAGTCCAGGCTCCGGCCCTCTCCCAGTGGTTCAGAGACAGTAGGTAGAGCCCTAGGAGGGGACACACAGCCCTTCTGTCCCTGGGTGGTAATTGGGCATGACTATGCAAGTGTGGTGAAGCAAATGGTACAGGTATGCACCCGGGCTATTTTTCATCTACCTCCTGTGCCTCCAGGGTTCCTCGGGTTCTTTTTGGTTCTTTTTTGAAAGGGAAGTCTGGGCCAGAGGTAGCATGGGAAAGACAGTGCACTGGAAGGAAAAACAAGAGCCGAATGCGGTGGGGGGGAGAGAGAGCTTCAGCCTCACCTGGGAGCGGATGGGGACGGCTGAGAGGGAGCCTTGGGAGGAGGCCCGCGGGAGCTCGCGCCGAGCTCCAGGACGGATTAGCCCAAGCTGGACGCTGACACGGGTGCCAGATCGTTTCGTTATGGAATGGTTAGTTATCACGTTAGCTGCTAATTTTATCTGTCAGCTCAGGAAGTGTGCTCTTTCCACTAGCATGGCCCCAATAACTGGGTTCAGAACTATCCAGTAGGGCTCCTTCCAGCATCACGATGCTGTCTTTTCTGTTTGGTTCGTTCCTAAAAGCTGGATCCGAGTTCACAGACTTCCTTTTCCCAGAGCACCATGGATTTTGTGGGCCGGCATTATGGCCTGCAGCGCGCCTCTGTCAGCCTCAGAGCGAGTCTGGGTCCAGATCATGATAAGCCCCGGAAGCAGTGCCAGTTAGCCCACGAGCTGCTCAGTGTATGTCTGCTACCTACCTCGAGGTGAACGAAAGATGATTTTTTTTTTTTTTTTTTTTAATTTGCCTCAAGAAGCTGGTCACTCGAGGACCTGGCTTTTTAACATTTATTCGCATCCTACTGATGAATCTTCCTCTAAAATATTTTTCTTTTAAAATATTTTTTAAGTATATATTATTGCTAATCTAATAATTCATCGAAAAAATCCAAGACTGAATTTTGGCCCAGCTGTGAGGCATTTCTCATTATGATAGTGAGTGCTCCTATTTTGTCGTTGCTACTTCTGTTTTTGGTTTTTATTTGGTGGTTCTTGGCCAGCTCCATTCTGAGTGTAGTAGAACTGGGCTGAGAAGGTATGACACCCCCACCCCACCCCAGACACATACATTGTACCCCTGGGAGGAGTGGAAGTCTCCAGATGATTCAGTGACATTGGCATGCTTTTTACTGTCTCTGGGTTAATTGATACCTGTAATTTTTTAAAATTTGAGAGTCAAAAATATATAGCATACCTAGTTCTCAGACCCAGTGCCACAGACTAGAAAATGGTTTGTCCACAGGGGTTACTTTCCAAGACCCCCAGTGGGTGCCTGAACTGTAGATAGTACTGGGCCCTATATATACCATGATTTTTCCTATACATACAAAACTTTTCACTAAAGGAAGCACTTTGTGGCTTCTCTTTGGCACACTTGAATTGCCTGCATCACTACTCTTGCTCTTTGGGGCCATTACTGAGTAAAATAAGGGCTACTTGAACATAAGCGCTGTGATACCTCAACAGTTGATCTGATAACCAAGACAGCTACTAAGTGACTGTGTGTACAGCCTGGAGACGCTGGACAAAGGGATGATTCACGTCCCAGGCGGACAGCAGGATGGCGTGAGATTTCATCACGCTGCGCAGGAGGCACACAATTCGAAACGTATGAATTGTTTATTTTTGGAATTTTCCGTTTAATATTTTTGTACCGTGGGTAACTGAAACCATGAAAAGCGAAACTGCAGATAAGGGGGGACGGCTGTATTGCTTAAAAGGAGGCTTGCCGGTCTTTGGAGAGTGAGAGGGCGCCACGTCGGCAGCTGCAAACTAGGCCTCATCGTGCGTTCGTTCCACCCTGTGTGTGGTGCCATTTGTTTTTATAGTCTTCAGGGCGACTTTTATTTTCATCATCTCTCATAAGCCAACCACAAGGTGTTTCTTTTCTGTGCCTTGGAGTGCGTCTTTTTTTTTTTTTTTTTTTTTTTTGGTCACACTTATATAGCATGGTGGTTTAGGGCATGGGCTGTTGAGCAGCTCGCCTGAGTTTTAATCCTGGCTCTATGTAATAGTTCTCTGATTTGGGGCAGGTTACTTGCCTCTCTGTGCCCCAGTTTCCTCATCCAGAAAAAGGGATCCATAATAGTGGCTGTCTCTTTTAGTGGTTGTGAAAAAACGGACGTTTTTATACGTACAGAGTTTAGCACATGGTAAGTGCTCTATAATTGGTATTATTTGCGAGGAACAGAAACTCACTGAAATGAGCATAAGGAAAAAAGAGGTCTGTTGAAAGGTGCCCAAGGGTCCAGCCCTCCCGGCTCTCTCCGGCTGCCCGGTCTCCCACTTCGTTAGCACAGACGTCTTCCCCGGCTACACATCGTGGCTTGGGCTCAGCAAGCTGCTGGGTCCCGCCCCAACCCTGCATGAACTTTCCATTCAAGTGTTAGTGATCACCTAACTTAGTAACTTAGTCATCCCCAAACCTGGGCACATAGAGTCTTGGGGTTCAGCTCCCCTTACCCCAGTGATTCTGACCCAGCCTGTTGTGAGTCTGATTGAGAAAGCTCAGAAACCTCCTCGGGTGATTCCGCTGATGTTTGGAAATCCACAGACCTTGTAGTCTCTGAGCATCTCAATTCCACATTCCTGGGAGAGGTTTCCAGGCCTTGATCTGGCTGGCTTGGGGGATGAGAACAGAGACCTGTGGTGCTCAGGATTGTGTGTGTGAGAAGGCTGCGACAGCACATCCATGACAACCCCCGTGAATTATTTTGAAAGAGGAGTTGTACAGGTAGTGAAGGAGCTTGTCACTTTCCTTAAAAAGGTAAACTATACTGCTTGAGCGCAGCTTGGCCTTTGTGTTTTGAAGGAACATAAAACGAACCCCTTCTCCAAGTACAGGCCAGCATTCTTATTCTTACTATTTACGAGCAGTGTCGAGGGGCCCAGCAGGGAGTGAAGGGTCATGTTGATGCCTGCTGGGCACACAGGTGGGCCCTGAGGCTCCGCCCGTTGCCACCATTGGGAGGGTGGGTTTTCGTCATGAGAACTTCGTTACCTCTCATGTGTTCTTGGGAGCCCCGAGAACAGGTGGAAAAGAGTAGCAGGAGCCTGGGTCAGACTTGGGGAGAAATATATTCCTTTCTAGCTCTGCCGTGACTTAATGCTTAATTTTTCGCCATCACTGATGATTAATTGGAAGACGTCTAATAAGAGCACTAGTCCTTATTGAGCACTTACCCTGTGTCAGGCACTCTTCCAGTGCTTTACATGTGCTGACTGAACTAATCCTCATCACAGTGTGATGGGATAGATGCTGTTCTTTCCATTTTACAAATGAGGAAACTGAGGGCCAACAGTTCGGCGACTTGCCCAAGCGCGTACCAGACGCTCCAGAGCCCATCCCCTCAGCCATCTCACTGCGGCAGCTTGTGAGACAAGGTGCTCGTGACAGAGAGAATAGGCACCAGTTTACTGCGAGGTGAAATTGATTCTCCCTTTTATTATGTCTTTCCAGGAAACGAAAGAGGAGAAGTCTTCCTACAACTGTCCCCTGTGTGAAAAGATTTGCACTACACAGCACCAGTTAACTATGCACATTCGTCAGGTTTGCTGCTGCTTTTATACTTTTGTTTCAAATCATTCTTCATTAAGAGAGGACAAGGTGATTTGATCTCAGCGTATAAATTGTGGTTGTGTTTAATTTAGATTTAATATTTTCATTATTTTGAGAGGTGGTGATGAAATAATTTTTTTTGGTCTGTGTAATTGTGACAACGTCCCAGGTCATCACAGAATACCTTTTCAGAAATTAGCAAATATTGAGTTCACTGAACACATATAACAGAAGACTTTGCATCGTACGTGAAACAGAAAAAAATAGCTGAGAAGCCTTACTGGTTTTATGATAAAGCTCTGAGTTTGCGTTACCGAGTTTTGACCCATCTTAAGTGACCACTGTGGTGATTGCTTTCTGCAGCACAACACAGACACTGGAGGGGCAGACCATTCGTGCAGCATCTGCGGGAAGTCTCTGAGCTCGGCCAGCTCCCTGGACCGCCACATGCTGGTGCACTCTGGCGAGAGGCCTTACAAGTGCACTGTGTGTGGCCAGTCTTTTACCACCAATGGGAATATGCACAGGTGGGTGAGGGCCGCCTTGGCCTGGTTCCTCTCAGCCATCATCAGAGAGAGGACTTGCCTGAAAACATGAAGAGTTCTGAATCTGGTTCACTGTATGGAAAAGCCAGAGATGGTTTTGTTTGCCTATTCATACTATCTCCGGAGTATTAGAGGTGTCTCATTCTGGGAAACAGAAGTACCTGGGCTAGGTCTTTGGCCCTTTGGGGATTAGAGTCCTCCCCCCTTTACCAGTTGCAATTTCTCTGTTCTGGTGCCAAAGGTGGGCAGCTTATCAGATACAGAGGAACCCTCAAGGAATAGCACAGTAACTTTGCCTTTTTAAAACTAGTTGCATATGCCTACTAGGTTCCCTGCAGATCTTTCTCTCTATGAAAAATTTCTGGGACCTTTGAATAAATAGTTAAGTTCCCTGATCCTGGAGCTTCAGGGTAAGATAGGATAAAAGGAAGAAATAGAAAATCTGATAAACATCAAGAATTTACTTCTAGAGGGGAAAGAGGCGCACTCAGAAGCGGGAGGGAGCTCTGTGGTGGGCATATTAAAATTTTGTGGAATGAATCAATGGAAAATATACTTTATAGAATGATTACATATGTTTTTAGGGATAGAACTGACTTTTTTGTTGTTATTAATCCGCACCCAAGAACATTTTTTCCATTGATATTTAGAGAGAGTGGGGGGAGGGGAGAGAGAAACATCAATGTGAGAGAGACACATCAATTGGTTGCCTCCTGAACACACCCCGACTGGGGCCAGGAATCGAACCTGTAACCCAGATACGTGCCCTTGACTGGGAATCAAACCCGTGACCCTTCAGTGCCCAGGCTGATGCTCTAACCACCGAGCCACACTGGCCAGGGCAGAATAGACTTTTTTTTTTAAATGCTTTTTTTAAGCACAAACATGTTGGGAACATTAGAATTCTAGGACAATTTTTTGAAGGGACTCAAAATTTCACCTCAGAAAATCAGGCTATTTTTATTTTTCTATATTTCCTTCTAGGTGTTAGAGTGCTTTCTTTTTTAAAGTTGACTAACATCTTTTTTTCCATATTTATTTCAAAAGAAAACTTTATATAATTATTGTGAAATTGCTGTTTTATTACATATAAATACTAATATGAGATGAACCCCTGATGGTATACTTGGGACATACAAGTATAATGGTAAATTTCTGGATTTTGAAATTAGGCCCCTGATTGCAGATTTCAGCTCTGCCACTTGCCCATGTCCCACCCTTGAGCAAGCTCCTTAAACTGTGCGCCTCAGTTACTCCCTCGTTAACGTGAGATTTTATACCCGTGTCACTGGACTAGAATGAGGGCTAAGAAATAAGTACACACAATTCTCAGCACACGGTGAGCACGCAATGGGCGTTGTCCAGTGTTCGCATTTCCAAGTAGTTCTGCAGTAATTTAAAGCCTATGAATTTCCCAGTCCCAACTCCTAGAAGTAGAGTATGACTCTCTGAAAGGTATCAGTACTTTAAATAATTTTTATAAAGTGTTTTGTTTTGTTTTCCATATAAAAAGTTCAATTCTCTCTCTGCGCCTCCTCTCCTGGTAGGAGTTTTGGGTACAAAGAAGGAAGTGAATTACAGTTGCCACTTTTAAATATATGGTACCTTTTAGCTTTTTGCTTTTTTGCCACCATATCAGCCTGTTGGTATGATTTTGCCTTCTCTTTGCCATTTTGTTGTGTTTTGCCCGCTCCTCCTATCTCCCCCAACCGCCCCCCAAAAAAAAAAGGTCCTCTCAGAATCTGCTCCAAGAGGTGGTGGTGCTGTCCCCTTCGAGGGCAGTTCCCCTGCTCTGTCTTACTGAGCCCTCTGCCCAGCGGGCCTCCCCAGGGCCAACTCTACTTTGGCAGAGGGTGACGCGATGGGGTGCTTTCCCTCCTGGCTGCTCTAGCCCTGACTACTTACCGCTTATGGTCCTCCACAAGCCACCGCTGGTCTTAGGCCCAATCACGCCTGATTTTAAAAATTTGTATTTTGAGACAATATCTGTGATTGAGTACGACACATGTTAAATACACCTATAGAAAGGCATACATACTGCCTTCTACAGTGATGTCTCTGACAACGCATTTTATAAATAATCATAACTGAAGTTACAGCGCACTATGCATCTGGCACTGGGCTAAGCAATTTCTATTTTATTTGTTTACGTCTTTATGAGATATAATTTATATATTATACATTACATTTTACCCATTTAAAGTATGCAGTTTAATGGTTTTAGTATATTCACAGGATTATGCAGCCATCGCTATAATCAATTTGACAATATTTTCATCACCCCCAAAAGAAACCCATACCCATAAGCAGTCACTTCCCATTACTTCCCACCCTCCAGCCCTAGGAAAACACTAGCCTATTTCCTGTCTCTGGATTTGCATGTTCTGGACAGTTCATATAAATGGAATTATATAATGTGTCTTCTGTGACTGGCTTCTTTCGTTTAGCATAATGTTGTCAAGATTCCTCTATGTTGTAGCATGTGTTAGTACTTCATTCTTTTTATTGTCAAGTAATAGCCCATTATATGGATACCACGTTTTACTTAATCCTCAATTGGTGGACCTTTGAGTCATTTCCACTTTTTGGCTATTATGAATAATGCTGCTGAGAGCATTATTGAACAGTTTTTTGTGTGGACGCATGTGTTTATTTCTCCTGGGTAGATACTTAGGAGTGGAATTACTGAGTCATGTGGTAACTCCATGTTTAACATTTTGAGGAGCTGCCTCACTGTTTTCCAGAGCAGCTGCACCATCATTTTATGTTCCCACCAGCAATGGGTGAGGGTTCCAATTTTTCTGCATCTTTGTTAACACTTGTTACTGTCTGTCTCTGTCTTTTTCATTACAGCCATGCTACTGGGCTTGAAGTAGAATCTCATGAGTTTCATAATTTTAATTCTTACACGTATGTCTATGATCTCTTTGAGGTTAATATTTGCATATAGTGCAAGGAAGGGGGGGTCCAAGGTCAGACTTTTGCACTTTTTTTGGAAAGACTTTTCTTTCCCCATTGAATTGTCTTGCTACCCTTATCAAAATTCAGTTGACCATAAATGTAAGGATTTAGTTCTCTACTGAGTTTCGTTGATCTATATGTCTTTCCTGAGGCTAACACTGTATTAATTACTGTAGCTTTCTTGTAAGTTTTGAAACCAGGAGGTATGGATCCTCTAACTTAGATATTTTTTAAAAGGTTGTCTTGGCTTTTCTGGGTTGCTTGCATTTTTGTATGAATTTTAGGGTTAGCTTGTCAGGTTGTTTGTTTGTTTGTTTTTCAAAAAAAGCATCTGGAATAATTACGGGGTTGCAAAATGTGTGGATCAATTTGGGGGCATTGCCATCATAATACTAAATTTTTAATCATGGGCTATTTTCCATTTACATAGATCTTACTGGATTCCTTTCAACTGTGTTTTCTAGTTTTCAGAGGCAAGTTTTATATTTTGTTAAATTTATTCCTAAGTGTTGTATTCTTTTTAGTGGTATCGTAAGTGGGATTGTTTTCTAATTTCATTTTTGATTGTGTGTTTCTAGTTGTATGAAAATACAGTTCGGACTTTATGTTGATCTCATTGCTGCAACCTTGCTGACCTTGTGTATTCATTCTTATAGTTACTTAGTGAATTCCTTAGGCTCTCCTGTATACAAGATTGTGTCATCTGCAAATAGAGATAGTTTTACTTCTTCCTTTGAAACTAACCTGGTTGCCTTTTGTTTATTTTTGTTGCCTGCTAGCCCTCACTAGGTCCTCCAGTACAATGTTAAGTACAAGTAAAGAGATGGACACCCTTGACTTATTTCTAACCTTAGGGAGAAGCGTCCAGTCTTTTCCCGTTAAATATGATGGTAGTTGTGGGTTTTTCATCAATGCCCTTTCATCATTTTCAGTTTCCATTCTATTCCTGGTTAGCTGAGTGTTCTTATCATGAAAGGGTGTTGGATTTTGTCAAATGCTTTTTCTGCATCTACTGAGATGGTCAAGTTTTGGATGTTAAACTAATTTTATTCCTGGGATAAATCCCACTTGGTCACAATGTATAATCATTTTCATATATTGATGGATTTGATTTGCTAGTATTTTGTTAGACTTCTTCGCCAGTGATCATGAGAGATATTGGTCTGTAGTGTTCTTTTCTTTAATCTGGTTTCTGTATCAGGGTAATTAATATAAGCCTCATAGAGGGATTCAGGAAGTTATTTCCTCCTCCTGTTTTTTGAAAGACTTTGTGAAGAGTTTGTATTAGTTCTTCTTGAAATATGTGATGGAATTCGCCAGGGAAGCCACTGAGAAGTTTTTAAATTACTAATTCAGTCTCTTTGTTTGTGATAGGTCTGTTCATATTTTCTATTTTTTCTTGAGTCAGTTTCAGTAGTTTATGTCTTTTGTAGGAATCTGGCCATTTTTATAAGTGACCTAATCGGTTGGCATACAATTGTTCATAGTACCCCCCCATAATTGTTTTTATTTTGTGAAGTCGGTGGTATTGGACCCTCTTTCATTTATGATTTTGATAATTTGAGTCTTCTCTGTCTTTTTCCTTAGTCAGTCTAGCTAAACACTTGTCAGCATTGTTGGTCTTTTCAAAGAAACAGCTTTCATTTCTTGATTTTCCTCTTGCTTTTCTGTCCTCTATTGTATTAATTTTCTGCTCTAAACATTGTTTCCTTCCCTCGGCTTGTGTTAGGTTTACTTTGCTCTTTTTCAGTGTTTTAAGGTAGAGAAGATGAGGTTATTGGTTCGAGAACTTATTTTCTTAACATTGGTATTTACAGCTGTAAATTTCCCTTTAAACATGCCTTAGTCGCAGCCCATAAGTTTTTGTGTGTTGTGTGTTGTTTGGGTCTGTGTGGATAGACTTAGAAACGATTTTGAATTTTTTATAGCACTGCCCTTGATATTATCCTAAGATACATTCCTCATTTATGAACAGTGTATATTGAAGTTGTTGGTAAATTACTGTTTATTATAAGTATTTT